GCTGTGTTGTCATCAAATGCAATATACATGCAAAAACGTTAATGCCATTTCTGGAGAAATAAGAACATTCATGGAGATCTTAAAGCTAAATTCAAGTGATGTTAGTATATAGTTCCTTCAAATATTTAGAAATTAAACTCCTTTTCATGGTGTGGATTGTACATTTTAAGGGGTTTTATTATATGTATTTTTCCATTTCATTATTCATCTAGCAGTAATGAAAGATTTGGCTCAGAAGCATCTGAAGCCAAATTGTAGCTTTAAATTTCCACTTGTCATTGCCAGATACTAAGTCTAAAGTATATCTTTTTACTGAGAACCCTTCCAAAAGGTGCAGCTGTATGCTGGTTTCATCTTGCATTTTGTAGCTGTGTTGGCAACCATTGAACGTAAGGTATGCTCTCATCTCCCACACATTGCCATTGCCTTAGAGCTATTCAGTCCTGTCTGTATCAAGAAGAAGGAAGAGTTTGCAGATTGGAGAGAACCCTGATTTGTTGTTCATCTCATTGGTTCTCACTGCAGCAAGGTAAAAATAGAGCTAGTGGAAAATCCAGCTTTTGTCAAGTGTCACTGGAAGCTTCCTTACTATCTGGAGACCCACTACCAGACCTGGGAAGAAGCATAAAAGCTATATAATAGTTTTCAGAACCATAATATTTTGGAGACCCTGGAATTAAAAAAGAAAAAAGAACAACAAAAAACCAGGAATTTTGGGGGAAATTATTACTTTAAATGAAAAATTAATACTGGATTTTAGCAAAGGGATCTACAAAGTACCTTAGATCCTTAGGTGTGGATTTGGTTCTCCAATCCTCTGTGCTGTCCTACAGTGTTCTTCAAAGCAAAAGATTATTTTGGAATCAAGTACTAAATTCAGTTTGCATGTGAGCTTTTGTTCAGTTCTCTTTCACTAAAAGTGACCTGTCTGAAAAGTTTTCCTTTCCCTTTGTACATCTGAATGTGCATGCTGAGTTTTCTTTTGGAACACCCAAGCTAGAATCATAACTTCTTTAAGCATAACTTGTATTCTAGCTCTAGGGGTAAATTCTCGGCCCTGCCCCCCTGCCTCCCCCTGCCCCAATTAGGTATAGTTTTATTCAGTTTAGCCCCTGAGATTTCCTCTCAGCAATTTGAAACTGAAATGCACTGTTTCCAAATTGGGCTGTCCTCCGTGTCAGTGTTATGAAGTGGCTTCGGTTCTGTGAGTACTGTTAAGTCTATTTATTTTTCTAACTTGTGTGTTTTGTGAGGCCTTACACCTTTAAATGAGCGTAATTTTCTATTCTGTGCAGAAGTGGGAAAATTTAAAGCAAAAGTCAGTATGATGTTGTGCACTAGTTATAGTGGAGGTGCCACAATGAGTAGGAAATCCTAGAACAGGTGTCAGGTTAAGCGATTTTAATTTGTTCGTGCCTACATGTTGATGAAATGAGTGTTTTTCTTCTATGTTGATGAGCATTATGACTGTGTGACTTAGATGTTTTTTTCTGTCACTGAAGGTAACTGCAGGTTTTGTGCCTGTCATTCTGTGTCTGTGTGTTATTTGTGTCTTTTTGCTGTAGAGGTTGTACACGTGCATAGTATTAAAAGATAGGTGAATATCACAAGTTTTCAGTCATGTATGCAAGTATCTTACAGACTGCTTACTTATGGAATAGATTGTCATTCATTTAAATTTCTTATCACTTCTAAAGTTCGGCAATGTCTTTGGAAGATACAGGTTTCCAGTTTTGGAAAGGAATATGATAAAGGGAGGAAGAGACATCAGAAATTCTCTGAACTTCTAAAATACATATTTTAGGGTAACAGAGAAGTATTGGAAACCTGTATTTTTAAGCCATGTGATGTTTGCTTTGCATACACATATTCTGTAGACATATTACAGATTTTGCATAAATATAAAGGGAAATGCATAGCTTCCAAAAGCCTTTCACTTTAATTAAGAGTATTATTGATCAATGAACACTGTACAACAAAGATATTCAGTAATAGATTATGATACAAACCTAGTTTATAAGCTAAAATTCTGCTTAAAGTTTAGATGAAAAGCATGGAGCATCAGGTAGGTTGCAGGAAAAGTCACTTTATGTTTACCTAACCTATGTAGGGTCTACACCACCCCATTCCTCATTTCCCATGGAGACAAAGTGTTTTCTGTATTGTGTTGTCTTCACCTTGCAAGGTGCTTCTTCCCGTGAACTGCACTCTCATAGCCTACCCTTTGATATGACTGATCTTCCATTTATTCTTTCAATAAATTTGCCCACATCATAAGATCGATTTATAGTTTGAGATTGAAAGGAACTACTTGATCTGAAAATTACAAATCAGATGGTCTGTAATTCATTATGCCTGAGCAGAGGCTGCTTGGAGGGCAGCATTTTTCATTTGGGCCCATCTTGTGTCTGATGAAGCAGATGTTAAGCTAATAGAGGTGTTCCAGGTGGAAAGTGACTTAAAGATGGAAAGAACTGAAAATTCCATGCCTTCCCTAAGTAGCTTGTTCTGCATTAATAACTATACTTGGAGATATGATGGTCAGCTATACCTATATAACGCACTTTCTTTGAATTCAGCTTTTAATCAGTGTTATATTAAGTCAGAGTTTATTATGTCTACTCATTTGCATTTTTCAGCTCACTAAGGTGTCACCAAGGAAGGAACCTATCCTCTAAAAAGCTGTGCAGATAATCCTTATACAGTGCTGTCTTTTATTGTTTTATATGAGTCTAGTGTCAGGTTTTTCTTTATTTTGCCCATGACTTATAATGTAGCTAGCATGTAGTCATGTTACTTGTCCTTTTATAGTGTGGGTCAGGTATTAGAACTCTTTTGACCTCAGGAATTGCTCTGATTTTCCAGAAGTCATTAAAAAGTAGCATCAGCAGGCCAGGGATCTGCTTAGGCAACTCTTTTGGGACTCCTGAATGCTTATTTTCTGGGCATCCTAAGTAAAACTGTTATGGCTAACAGATGTTTTTCTAATGTCTTCACTTATGAATGGACTAAAAAGTATTCCAACATTGTGGTACCATCATCTTCCTTCTTTTCGCAAGGGACATGTCTCAGCGTCTCAGTACCCTTCACTTCATTACTACTTACTAAATAATTTTTATATATTGTCTTTCATCTCTCCTCATCTTTCTACACTTCCGAACTTCTGTCCCTTCCATGACAGTTTTTAAATTTGTGTTAGTTTTGGCTGCGGTAGAGTTAATTTTCTTCACAGTAGCTAGCATGGGGCTGTGTTTGGCGTGCTGGAAACAGTGCTGATAGCAGAGGGATGTTTTAGTTATTTCAAAGTGATGCTTATACAGTGTCAAGGCCTTTTCTTCTTCTCACCTCGCTCCACCAGCAAGGAGGATGGGGGTGCACAAGAAGCTGGGAGGGGGCACAGCCAGGCCAGCTGACCCCAAATGACCACAGGAACATTCCACACCATATAGCATTGTGCTTAGCAATAAAACTGGGAGCAGAAGGAGTGAGGTATATACAGAGTGATGGCATTTGTCTTCCCATGTCATCATTATACATGATGGAGCCCTGCTTTCCGGAAGTGGCTGAACACCTGCCAGCCCATGGGGAGCAGTGAATTAATTCCTTGTTTTGCTTTGCTTGTGTGTGTGGCTTTGCTTTTCCTGTTAAACTGTCTGAACATCAACCCATTAATTTTCTCACTTTTATCCCTCTGATTCTCTCCTCCATCCAACCAGAGGAAAGCAAGCAAGCAGCTGTGTGAGACTTAGTTGCTGGTTGGGGTTAAACCACAATAAAACTGTTTGCATTTTTATGGAATTATGTAGTCCAAAATAGGGTGAATTATCAGCCAAAATTTTCTGCTTTCTCATTTTCAGTTGTTGTATTTTTGTTTCTTTTTTTGCTATGTCAAAAATTTTCACATTTTTCTGTTATTTTTTTTTCTTCTTTTCTTTAGTTATCCTCATCACTTTGTTCAGTTTCAGTCTTGTAAGAATGGGTGGGGGGCACTATATATGTACGTATACATATCCATGCAGGCATCTATGTGTATGTGTGTTTAAGAATTGCTTTCTGTTTGTCCATGGTGAGTTTAATTGGACAGAGATCGCCATCACTTAGGCAACTGGCATTTTTTACTTCAGTGATTAAGCTTTGTTTATCAATCATAATCCATCAAACTATGCTAGATGTTTCTGGCAGTAGTTTAATATCTTTATGTAAACATTCTTGCTTTCCAAGTGTTTAACAGAACCACTCTAAAACTTTTGAATTATTCTTTTGGCAAAAATTGTGTATTTAGAGATAGATCATCACTCACATCACAGAGCTAGAATATTCCTTTATAGAGTATGTTCTCTGCATGAAGAAACTAGATTGTGTGAAAACTGACTTTGTATAAAATCTGTATGCAGTTTTGTTTGAATCTACAAAATGTCCCTTTCCGATTATACCGCTATTTATTCTTAACCAGCCCTTGAAAAGGAGATTCTTGCTATAAGTAAACTACATTGTTCGTAGTAAAATGCCTGAAAATTGAAATAAAAAGAAGTTGTTGAACTTTTTACGACTGTGAAATACTTGTTTCTACTGCTGTTTCAGGTCTTTGTAAATCTGTTGTACCCACAGGATCTGCAGGTCTCAGACAGTGATGTGTTTAGTTCCCATACTTGGTGCACAGTGTATGTAAATGTTTCAGACTAAAAGATTTTTTTCTTTCTTTCCTTGCATTGTATTTCTGCACAACCACAGACTACAAGCTTTTATTATATTTTCCCAGGCAGTACGGTGAGTGGTTCTAGGACTGAGTTAGGTCCCTAAAAGAAAATGCTATAAAAATGCAATTGTCATCGTTTTTATTCTATTTTCCGATTACTTATGGAGTCTTCTCTTGTGGCCCTGATATGTGGCATGTTTGTTCTGTTACTAAATTAACTGGTTGCATTACATGTCATGATTTTCATGAACAGTAATTGCATTCACCTGTAGCTTGGCTTATTTTTCTTCTTTTTCTTTTACAGCTTTTTCACTTCCAGATCTTACAGAACAGTTTGCACCCCCTGATGTTGCTCCACAGATTCTTGTCAAGTTAGTAGAGACCATTGAAAAGAAAGGTAGGCTGAAGAACAATCTACCAAGGTTTTTTGTTGCTTATGTGAACCAAGACTGCAGAATTAGATCCAGAGGTGGCATCTCCCCTTTCTAGAGCTGATAATGCATCATACTGCTTAACACCTGAAATAATCTCATTTAAGGTCTGTTGCACTGGTTTCTGCTCAGTAGAGGCTATTTGGACTGTAGGAGCAAAACCAAAGCTTATATCAAATGACATTTAATAACTCAACTAATATGAGTATTATTAAAAGGTAAGAGAGAAGGGTTTGGTATTGTTTTGTTTTTTCTAACCAGTTGGTTATGGAAACACCTTCATAACATTGAGTTGGATACACAGCCATACAGGGAAACAAGTAATACTTTGCCCGAAAGCAGAGGGCAAAGAAAATAATAAACCATGAAAAAGTTACAAGAACTGGTTTGATGTTGAACCAGACAGTGTTATTTTTATGTTTTTTTTTTCTTTTCTGCTTTCCCATGTTGATGTCTCTCCATCCTTTTGAAGCTTTCCTCTTTCTTTTTCTGTGTTCTATCTCTTTTACCCTATTTCTGTCCTCCTGGCACCTCCTCTGATGTTGACTTCATAGTCCTGGTGGGGTAAGGAGCAGCTTCAGTGAGTCCTGATCATTCAGGGATCTTAAGCCAGGGACAAGAGGAAAAGCAATATTCTGATCAGAATCAGAATCAGGCTGCTATCCTTGGGGACATAGGTTCTCACATACTGCATACTTTTAAGAGAGTGTAAGCCTTTCCTTAATGAGTAGGGCCTTGCTAATATCAATGAGAAAGGCCAGTATTTAGCAACCCTTTGCATAAGTAACTGCTACTTTCAGGAAACACCACTGATAGTATTAAATCGTCAGTGCTCTGCATACCAGGATACGATCTCTTTCCTTGTGTCTTCTCTATTTTCACTGAAATATGGAAGTAGGAAACAGTACCTTTCACGCAAAACCACTTTATTGGTGTCTTTTATTCAGGTGGATTATTAGACATATTTTGTGACATATACAGATATTTTCTCTCACACTAGTGTGAATCTGTTTCTTAGTCCTGGCCTTCTACAGTTGGCCAGTGGATAGCTGTGTAGAATACATGGGACTGCTGGTATTTCTGATCTTCCTTGGTCAGCTTTTTCTGCAGACACAGCAGTTTGAATGTACAAGGAGCTGTATTGTAGCCTTAAAAATCAGACACATTCTTAGTGTGGTAGGTGGATGGTGGTGGAAGAAGGTGGAAGAATGTTGCTAATTTAAACTTCTTGAAGAAAAGAGAAATATATTCTGTCAAGGCAACAGTCACTGAAATATTAATATATCCCATTGATTTTGTTTTGAAGGTCTGGAGTGCTCAACTTTGTATGGAGCACAAGGCTCAAGCAGTTTAGCGGACTTAAGACAAATCTTTGAATGTGGTAAGTACAGGTATTCTTCTTAAAACACTAGACAGATTTTGTGGTCAGAGCACTCCTTTTTTCTTTGCTCCTCCACTCATATGTTCTGGTCCTCAATAATATAGTATTAAGAAGACATATATAATTAAAATTTTTCTTTTACACTTAATATGAAAGGTATTTTTCACTTTTACAAATTCTTTCTTCATGGCTCCATTGTGTGGTTTTTTTCCAAGAATAATTTTAATCTCTACTTATCCTTTTGCTTGTTCAAAGACAGATAATCTAGCTGTACAGAGAAAAAAAAGATGTTTTGGTCAGAGTCAAGATAATGATTCATTGTTCTTGTAAGGCTGCAGGTTATTATTTTGTAAACAAATAGCCATTTGTTTACATATAGTTCTATGTGTGCAGTTTTTGGTCCAGTAGGTGGGGTGGCAATAGCAGCACATTACCTACCCTGCTACAGAGTAGCAGAGACCATTTGATTAATATTGTAGGCTGAATTCTCAGGTTTTAGACAGTAAAACACAACTACACCAATAACACCACTTACCCATTCAAGTTTCCTGACATATATTTCCTTTTCTTTTTGATACTCTTTAACACTGCTTCAGGCCAGAATATGCTGGCTTGGCAGCACTCTGTTGCAGTATGAGAGATCAGTAGCTGTTGTAGGAGGAGCGCTTGACTACATCTTGGTGAGCTGGGGTGCAATGTGTGGTGTGAGCTTTCACTTGGTTAAAGGAGCACAAAAATACAAGGGGTGGGAAGTGAAACTGGCTACGTGCCTTGTTGCCGAAGGGACAAAGAAAGCAAGCTTAAACTGTGAATTAGTCTCTTCATTTTTAATAATTGCAAACATTAACAAAATGAATAAGAGATGATACTATGAGTTGTCTGTTACCTTCAAAACAAAAGGGCATCCTGTCCTCTGATGATTGTGGCAGGAGTGAAGAAGTGTAGGTGTACAAGCAGGGAGAGGAGACATGCTTGTGGTGCTAGCAGCTTCACGCTAGCAGCCATATTTTTAGTTTGTAATTGTATTTTTAGTCCAGATAAATCCAGATTTTCTGGGCACCAATATGAATGTATCTCTTCATTTATCTGCATCCTTTCTTAAGTTTCTAAACTGAGGTGTACTTTTTTGAAAGGTTCATCTATCTCCTGAGATCAAAAACTTGTGGTTTACATGTATTCTTACTTAAAATGTAGTTAACTTTGAGAAACAAAAACAGGACTTTGCCCTTTAGTAACAGTGTCTCTTTCTGACTTTTCTTTAAGAAAGAATCAGAATCTTCCAGGACAAAGCTAGTGCAGTGGGTATCCAGGTACATGGATACAGACAGATCTCATCTCCTCTGCCTGCTCTCTTTGAATCAGCAGAATGCTAATTCAGAGAGCAAAGTCATCTTTGGTCTCAAAGTTTTGAACTTGCGTTAGTGTGGTGTTCTGCTAACGGTTAAAATGCTCTCCATAATTGACTAACTGTCTGTTAGCATCAACACAGTGCTATCTAGCTCTAAAATCAAAGTTGTCTTGCATCTGGCCAGCTTGGCAGATGGAAGAGGTCAGGTCTGTTTATATCATTACACCTAAAGAGTTGCAGAGTAAGTTTATTCTCACTTATGTACTCACTATAATAATTTGGGATATACTTCAAGGAAATGGTCAACACTGAAGAGGCATGATTTAACTTGGCTTATGAAAAAAAAACATTCAGTGAGCAACAAAACTAATAAAAACTATTTCTGAAGAATTTTAGTTGGATTCTCTGACACATAATTGCTCTTGTAGAATTCATTCCCACACTGCAAGTTTTTTAGCATCTGAGACATTCATGATGTCTCTTTTCTCATGCAAATTCTTTAGTCTGATAAGATTTGAGCTCATACTGCAAGCTTTTCTTTGGGGAAAACAGAAAGGAGGTGGAGTAGCTCTAAGTTTCTCGCTACCCCCTCTTGGCTGCCTTATTTCACAGTATTTGTAGATGCACCACATATCTGATTTCCTCTGCCTCCCTGTTTACTTTAAACTGGCCAAATGGATTCAGGACTTATTTTACGGAGGACCTGGCTAGCATAGAATGTTGATCAGCATTAATGCCTGAAAATTCTTGTACCAAATATGGATCTTTTTGTAAACACTGAGGACTTTACTGTGCCAGAGTTTCATGTTTCAGGATGAACCCTAATCTGGCTCCTACTAAGTAAGGATTTCTATATTTTCCTATTTTTACTTTTGCTGCTGATATTCCTTTATGTGACACTTCCAAACTTTATCCCGAGTCATAACTATCCTGGAAGGGTATCAGGTTCTACAAGATAAATCCTAACAGCTGCACAAGTTCTGCACATGTATATTTGTTTCGACTTACTCACATAAATATTTACAGACTTGGAGCCCCAAGTTGTTAATCAAACTTTCAGTCATAATAGAAGTAGCTACCAGTAGAGAAGTGGCATTTGACCAAACCTTTGATTAATACTTAGTTCTTACACAAAATATTTACACATAAAACAGAGACCTGTTAAAAATATTCTGGTGTTCCATTACCCTTCCAACATGCAGCAAGTCATTACTGTTACTCTGAGTTCAGCCCTGAACTGTATGTGACAGAAGGCCACAAACAGCTGCGGAAGCCATTTGGTTCATCATATACCAAAGGCCTGGACATGGTGTTGAACACTGTATGTTGTTAGTCTCAAAGATATTTCTTAATGTCTTCTATTCTTTCTTATGAGTTGTTCCCCATAAACCAGATGTAAGTTAGCAATTTTGGCTTGTTATGAAGCCCTAATATGATGAACTTTGTATATTTTTTCCATTTTCTAGAGTCTAAAAAATATGTTGCTCTTTCCCTTTAGATGCCTCTTCATTAGATTTAGAGACATTTGATGTGCATACTTTATCAGATGCTCTCAAGAGGTATATCCTGGACCTGCCAAATCCCATCATTCCAGCTGCTGTTCACAGTGACATGATTTCTGTAGCTCAAGGTATGATTATCACAGTATTTCAAATGTCAGACAAAAAATCTTTTATTAGAATTCTGAATATCTGGTAGTCCAGCTGTCACTCAGAGAACAGGGAAGATTCTGCACAATGTGGCAGCATCTCAGAGAACATGAATACCTTCACCACTTTTGATGAAAGCTGTTTCAGCAGAACTAGATATTATTCTGCATTATTTGGTTACTTATTTGTGTAAACATAATGGAAAATACAAGGAATTACACAGTTCTCTTTGTTTTAGTAAGTAGAAATACTATAGAAGAACTGGGGGGAAAAAATCAAGGACTTATCTGTATGCAGAAAGCTAATTTTTAACTTTTTATCAATGCTGACAAAGTAAATGTATTAGAGGTCATGGAGTGCTGTGTTACATTGGGAGTTGCAGATTATGAAGTGAGAAATACATGCATTCATCATCTACAGTGGTCATTTTAAACAAGTATGGCTTTTTGGCTTTCAGGGCCAAGTATTCTGTTATATATTCAGGACAGGATATTGTTACTGGTAACCTTCAAAGTTAGAACAGCACCTGTGAGACTTATCTAGTGCATCTCTGAATTACCCAATCATGTGTAACGCTAAACACAAGACAGACTTCTACCAGTACACTCTGAACATATTGCGGTTTTTACCAAAATGCATATCTATTTCCATTTGACTTTTAAATACTTGTTCTTCACTCTACTCTGAGCATTTTACTTTTTTTAAAAGACGAAAGAAATCTTACAGTGCTAATGGACAGAATTATTTTTTTCTGTAAAACTGACGCTTCTAAAGGAGTCTCATATAGTTTCATTTTACTTGAATGTTCCTGTGCTGATTTCAAGAACCTTTTATCTATTTGCTTACAGAAGTGCAGAGCTCAGAAGAGTATGCTCAGTTGCTGAAGAAACTCATCAGATCTCCAAATATACCTCCCCAATATTGGCTTACACTCCAGTATTTGCTCAAACATTTCCTCAGAGTTTGTCAAGCCTCCAGCAAAAATCTTTTGAATGCAAGGTCCTTGTCTGAAATTTTCAGCCCTCTGCTTTTCAGATTCCAGATCACAAGGTATGTGGGTCATCTTTATCATATTTTCTACTGCAAATGTGGGTTAGTCATATACAAAAGTAAGTTAAATTAAGTAATTTTCTGAACTTATTTCTGGCGTGAGGGCATTGTAGTAAATTTTTCCAATGTTTTTTGAATAACTCTAGAGTAAACTTTTTCATTTCTCCTAATTCTTACTGCCTGATCCATCTCTTGCAGCTCTGATAATACGGAACACCACATAAAAATCGTCGAAGCTTTAATCACAAGTGAATGGAATGAGAGGCAGCCTGTACCAGGTAAAAAATATTTTTAAATTAAGTTATATACCATTGTTTGCTTAAATAATGAAATTCAACTTAAGAACAGTAAATAATTTTTTCTTTCTTAATCAAAATTAATGCAAAGCAAAAGCGTGCAATACAGAACTAAGTAGAAGTTGTTTGTCTATTTTATGTGGTATGCAACGTTTGCTTCATAAGAAATGGTCTTTTTCATTAAAATAATTTTAATAGCCATAGTTTGTACAGCCTTAGGACTTTCATTTCTCTTTCAATAATCAGCGAATAGGAATTTGTGGGTTTTTTAAGACTTGTAAACCAATAAAATGCCTATCCTACAGTGATTGAGGGGTTAATTCTGGAGGTTTTATTGAACATTCAATTTACTTATGGGCGAATTTTCTTAGAAATACTATACCCCATAGAGATATTGGAAGAAAGTAAATTTCACCATTTATTTACATATATATATATATGTTTTAATCCGGATACTCAAAAGATTTATTTATTGATATCAATATAAATAATCCAAAAAATAATAAGAGCCCATCCAGGAAAGAAAGATAATACTTGTATTGATTCTGTAAGTTAGCATATGATTTAGTCAAGAAACAGTAAAGCCCACCTCTGATTTATGCGAAATCACTGGGTTTGAATCAAATATTTGGTAAAAGCAAGGCATAGTTGCTGACTATGTGCAAAGGAAATTATTAACGCCGGGAACTTTACATGTTAGCTGAAAGCAATTCATTTCACAGCTTATTTACAAAGGATATCTGAACAGAGGATAGGGTGATGGTGAACAGAACACTGGACAGCCTGTAGCTTTCCTACGTCTCTATTCAAAGTACAAAGAGAAGTTCATGGCAGTAGTATTTGTAGGGCTGCTTAAGGTTTGAAAAGCTAAAGCACAGCAGCAGAAAAATGCTTCATTTCCTGTATTTCAGGTAGGCACATTGTATAATCCCCTTCATCAGCTATTGAAGATTAACTTAAAATAGCTAAAATTTTTGTTCCTACTGCTTTGGTTGAAAGGCTTTTCTAATCTTGCCAGCTCTTGTAGTTAGGAAACTTTCCCTAACATTTAGTGTACATCTGTTTTCAGCTAGTTTCCATATATTTGTTTTTGTTACATTTTGTCAAAATAGTTAAGCAGGCATTTCCAGAACTACTGTGTGTTTTTCTTCCTAAGGCTTTATAACTAGGAGAGTCCAAACTTTTAAATGACTATTTATCCTATGTTACTAAGAATCAGCAAATAGCTGCTAATTGTTAAAGAATTATTTTCTTTGTCATACATTATAAGTCTTAAAAAGCAAAATAGATATTAAATCCTCCAATATTCTAATGCTAACAGCATTTTTTATAGTTATACATTTGCAAATGCTTTCGGGTATGTAAATAAACATGTCTAGAGGCACTGATTGGGAGGTTAAAAACATAGGGTCGACAGTTTTTAAGTTTTAAAGTACGAATTTTATAAGTTGCACTTAAGAGATCCCTTGGTTGCATTTCTGAGTTGCTTCACATGAGGAAAGTATAAAAGTGAAAGGTGTTGACATTAGAACTACTAATGAGGACAAGGAGTCTAGTCATCTTGAGAATATGATTAGGGTGATTGAAGTAATGTCATTGTATCCATCAGGTTCATGGTGTGTGACACTACATTAATAATTATAATCAAACATCAGATTGTTTATAATATTACTTCTACATTAATTAATATTTCAGATTGCTGTAATTTATTTTGAGGGTCCACCCTGGATTTTTCACGAGTTCTATTACAAAAACAGAACTCCTTCCCTGTGCATTTCAAAGTCCATCCTGTCTAGTGGAATGTTTTTTTAGTAGAACATTTGCACATCTATTAATACGCTGACAAATAACTCAGGTAAAAATTTTCAGGCTTTGTAGTCTGCGGTTAGCTAACCTCTGCTGTTAAGCCTGTAAAGGCTTTGCATAATTTTCAAAAGTTGGATCTTCATATAGTGTTCTGTTCTGTTCAAGAACTAGGACATGAGTCCATTTTCCACACCAAAATCATTCAGACCTGAACATCTGAAGTGGTCTGTTTTTATAGTTCTCAGAGAAGACTCTAAGATATGTTTTTCAGAATTGTCAACTTTAAGATTATTGTTTGTAGTGGCTTGATTTGGCATAAAGATTGCTTAGAAACATTGTAATAAAAAGAAGATTCCAATAAAATATATCTTATTTGTCATACAACTGGTTTGAGAATTACAATTTTTAATAGAATTTTACAAGTGGACAAGTTAAGCGGTTTTAAGCAGAAAGAATTTTACATGTTGAAAATAATGTCATGACAACTAAGTGATAACAAGAAAGCCAGTGCTGCCAGGTTTCTTCTCTTTTTCACAGGCTAGAGTGATGGCTTCCTCCTTTCATACTTTTTTCTGTTAAGATGAGAACATTCTGTCTAAAACAAGCTGTGCATGAAGTTTTAGTGGTATCTTATGCAGTACATAGAGATATTAAATGTAGCGTTGGAGATAATGATCTGAATAGCGATGAGATCTTTGCACAGCTGTGGGGGTTCTTTCTTACTACATTGCCCACTAATTATCCTTCTTGCCTGGGAACAATAGAAAGTAAGCAACTGGACCTTATATCTTATTGTATCTTAAAATAATTATTTTAAATTGGGCATCTTTAACCTAGAATGATGCTTTGCATGCCATAATTCAAAAAGAGGAAGTTACCCCTACACCATTACTTGATTTATCACAGGACAATTGGATTGTTTTTTTTCCTCTGTCATAGTGTTCATCAGCAAACTCTGCATTTTAGTTTGTGAGTTAGAATAGTGCTTAGTCCTACACAAAAGTTAAAGTACTAAAGTTATAATACCTGGTCGTTCAATCATAGATACTTGCTTAGCAGGCAAAGACAAAGTAATGTTGCAGGAAAAATAAGGCTGGAGAAAACAAGATCGGTTTTCTGATTCATGTCTCATTCTTCAAATTTATCAGTAGGAGAGCCAGAAGATGGTGTTGGTGGGCAAGCAAGGTGATTTCCTATCCCATTTGAACACCCCAACTTGATGTACAGCTGCACAGGCTTTAATTTAAAGAGTAATGCTGATTTTTCAGTGAAGAACAAAGTGCAAGTCTCTAAATATGTTATTCAAAACAGTGCTATTAGAAGAAAGTAGCTTAATTGTGACAGATTTTAGCAAACAGTGCTGGTTATCCTGCAGAAAGCAATCAAGTGTCTTGTCTCACAGAGTCTCATGGATTATACAGAGTTGTGAAGGTAAATATTGGAAAATAGGCTATATTAGGCTATAGTTATAGGTATAGAAGACAGGGGGGGGTTCAGTTGATTGTCTGGGATCATACAGGCTCCTGGCTTTCGTGTCTGGAGGAGGCCTGTCCTGGATGCAGATCTCAGGGTTGTCTGTGGGACCCAGTGGATGCTTGGGGCAGCACGGTAATTTTGACACTAGTAACTGGGAAGGCAGGTCACACAGAGAAAGGTGGGGTGTTGGAAGAGTTGGGAGGTGATTTTTTGTGGGGAGTTCTGGGAGATTGGGGTCCTTTTTGGGGTTGGGGGGGAGTTAGAGAGTGTGGAGGGGCTTTGTGTGAGATTAAGGTCTGTTTTAGGAAGGCAAAGAGTAAGCGGCATGTGGCGAGAGAGCAAGGGGATGTGGGGAGCTGGTAGCATTGCTGGTAAAGAGCAGAGGAAGAGCTACTGCAGAGGCAGGAAAGAGCTGCCTTGTTGTATGGATGAATCAAAGCCTTTGCACTGACTCAAGCTGAGATGCTTTGTTCGGGCTGTCCATCCCAATTGTTTCTCAGGCTTGTACATAACACTGTAAATAAATGGCTCAAACTGTGAAATATTGCAACTTTAAGCCTGAAGAGTTTTACTATTCAGAGGATCATAGGTAAGAATTAGTGAGGTAGTAAAACTGCCTCACATGTAACTGCTCAGTTGTTGGTGATGGGGTGAAAGTCATGGCAGTATCACCAAGGTGCAGACGCTTTGCTTTTAGCTACGCAAAATGTTAGCAAGGGTGGGTAGCAAAACAGCTGGACTGGAGCAGTGTAAAGGCTGATCCAGTTCCTCTTAGAATTGGACTCAAGAGCTCCCCTGGACTGCTGCAGTGGTCAGGCTGAGACCACAGTCCTGTCAGTAGTGTCCTGGGGACATACACTAATGTGTAGGAGTGCTGTCCTTTGGCAGGACTTTTCTGCATCGTGCCACAGTCTTGGCTGGACTCTCAGCACCACCGAGGGTGGATTGGAGCACGCAGAAGGCAGCGTGTCCCAGGGAAAGCGAATGCCCCGCGGCAGGGAGGGATATTGTGCGTCCTTGATTCACCCAGCAGAGGGCTCCCCTTCTAAGCTAATAAAAATCAGGCTTCATCCCTGATCTAACGGAAAGTAAAATGCTTGGTTAACCACTGTACTTTGGAATGCTCTGTTGGTTTAAGTTTTGACACTAGCCTGTGCTTTATGTTTCTTGATACCTGATTGGAAGTATTTGATAAAAGCTACTAGAATTTTTACAGATTGATCTGTGCATGTGCGTGTTTTTGCATGCATGTGTAACACACATAAAAGCATGTGAAATCTAATCAGTTCTTTTCCTGCTTTAGACATAGAAAAAAATATGTTATCTTGATAGCACAAGACTGTGAGTGTAACTTCAAGTAATAATCTGCTGCAGATTAAATGTGCACCAGTGAAGGTTTCAAAATTTAAATAAAAATTTAAGACAGGGCAATATTTAAAAATACAAGTGTGTGCATCCCAGTATCTTTTTTTGACAAGACACTCGATTCCCTTCTGCAGGATAACTAGGAACTCATTGTCTCTCTGTGGATACCTGTGCTTTTTAAAAAGATTAAAAAATTCAGTGAGCCAGGGTTGGGTTGTCTTTTCTCCTTTCTGAATATGCTTCTGTATTGCAGCCCTATAAACCAAGAAGTTTTCTCAACCCCTTCCGCAATTTTAACAGTAAAGAGGCATATCAGCTACAGTCTGAAGTTGGAT